TTTCTGAAACAATCTCACCCCCATATCTACAAGCTGGTTATACAAAAATGTCCATTTTCAACACAGATGGCAGAACTCCTGCCTGTGGAGCCATAAGCCCAGCTTCCTTTGCCCTCTGTCTTTACCATGACTTTGAAAGCGCCTTTCCTAGAATAAAGAATTCAGCTGGGGTGGTGGTGCACACCCCTAATCGCAGGTGAAGGCAGAGACTATGAGTTTGAGGCCACCCTGGCTACTTTAGTGAGACCTTGTTCTGGGAGGTAACCTCCATGCTCTAAAAATCAAGACTCTGTTCTTTGTCCTCTGTGGGAGGTAGTCTTCATTTCAGAGTGATGAGTGTCCTTGGTCTGAGGATACCACGTGACAGCTTATACTGACCAGTGACTCACAGAGAGCCACTTGTTTGTGCTAAGCAGATGACTCAGGATGGCAGCCAGTCTTGCCCATAACTAGAGGGTCAGGGCTTTGAGCCACCCAGTAAGATCTGAGCCTCCCTAGACCAGAGACCGAGTTTAGCCCACAGAAATTGCCCATTGGAGTTTAGGTGAGCTGTCCCAGCAACACATCCCATTAATGCCATACTGATGTGCCAAAAGGGTATGTCAGCCTGACCTCACAAGGAAAGGCAATGGAGGCTTGGACTTGCACTTCTCCAGCCTGCCCTATGTGTCTCTCCCTGATGATGGTTCTAGTCTATTTTTTGGGGGGGAGGGGGGCTACAATAAAACTGTCACCTTTAATACAGCATATCTCTGAATTCCAGGAATTATTCTAGTGAACTGCTCATCCTGAGCAGGTGGTACGTACCTCAGAATTTGTAGCCAGGTTCTTAGAAGTGAAAATTACCTGGGAATCTCCAAACTTGCAACTGGAGTCAGAAGGGCAGTTTCACAGAGAATGGCATCCCCAACCTGGCAAGTTTGACTTAACTCAGGGTATTGGAGACAAGTCACTGTGCCCCCAAGACCTGCTTCTCACATGCTGTCACAGTGAATGGCACAAGCATCCAACCAGCCAGCAGTTCATGGAGCACAGAAGTTGTCACTGACCCTCCTGCCCTGTCAATCCGGGCATAAAAACATCATTCCAAGTCAACTTCCTAGAAAGTTCTGGCTCTGTTCTCTTCTCTCCTTATCCTTCTAGCCTATGGACAGTTACCTGGTGGGACTGCTAAAGTTTCCTGAAGAAGCCACATCTGTGCTGAGTATCTTGCAGACAGTGACTGACTAGAACTTTGTGCCTGTGGAGAGAGGACCTGCTGCAGACCCAGGGCCAAAGTATCTCATACCATCTTTGGTCTCACCAGTCCCTTATCACCGACCTCTCTATCAGACTGGACATCTACCTGCTGAAACCTTTGCAATGCACTGAATTAGCAGATGGCTAGATTCTACAAGCCCCAAAGCCAAGACTCTCATGAGGCATCACCTGAAACCTACAGCAAACATCTCCCCACTTTGCTGTGACCTACCTACCCAGCTCCCCACCAAAGTACTGTGAATACACTGATTTAGCAATCTTTGGCTATATGACCATAAAAGTTCCTGTAACCTCTTTCACAATGGAACATGTCAACTGTAGTAACCTGAATCCATACCCAGGCCACATACACTCGTATGTGGTACATAATGAACTTTCTCTTGTTCCCTCTGCAGCCAGAACTATGTAGTATGGACAAGATCATCCCCTGTCACGCACCATTTAAAAAAATATATTTTATTATTTTATAGGTATGAGTGTATTGCCTGCCTGTGTGTAAGTGCACTGGGGTCATGCAATGTCCATGGAAGTCAGAAGAGGGCGTCAGATTCTCCTTGGAGTTATGGATGGTTGTTAGCCACCATGTGGGTGCTGGGAATCGAATCCAGGTTCTCTGCAAGAGCAGCCAGTGCTCTTAACCGCTGAGCCCTCTCCGGCCCTGCCATGAACCATTCTGACTGCTCACGGAATTCTGACCCCATGTGCCTTCTCTAGAATTCTCTGGCCAACTTCGTTCCTCCACCTACAAGGAGCCTCTTCCCTTGCAACTGCCTCTGCTGTTTACTGCGCAGGCCCTGCTTTGTGCCTTCCCTCTGTGCTTTGCTTGCTCCCAGCTCCCACGAGGCCCGAGTCACTCCTCATCCTTTTTGGATAATCACCAAAACTTAGCTTGTTTTATTTCTGATTTCCTCCCCTGAATCAAAACTAAGTTCCATATCAACTCCAATGCTGTGTTCCCAGGGCCTAGAGGAGGGTTTGGCCCATAGAAGACCATCATTTATTGAATATCCTAGTTGGATATTCAGGTTTCACAGAATCTGCTGAACTGGATTATGTCAGCAGGTGGCTCTAGCTATAGGTCTGGCCTCCTCAATCCATTCCCCACAATGCATCTTTGTAGGTCGATGTCACTCTGCCTTGTTAAGACCCAGGGCTCACCTCTGCATTCAGAGAGAGTTCGACCTCTCCAGCAGGAGAACAGGCCCTTCAGAGTCAGCTGTTTCCATACCCGGTCCATCCTCTCTCCCCATCTGGACTCCAGCCACACTGGACTGCTGTGCACATTTCCAACTCCCAGATCTCCCTTGCCTCCTGGACAAGGCACATGTTTCTCCCCTGTGAAGTTCCTCTCTCTTCCCTGGGCTGCCTCCTTCACTCACCCTTTGGGAATCCTTAACTACCACTTCTAGAAAACTGACCCTGATCTTGCACAGTCCTATCAAGTTGCCCCTCCAGTGTACTTCCCTGGAACTTGGGTCTCCCACAGCCAGTGCACTGGTTCAGGATGTGTGCCCATCTGAGTACTTGCCTGTCTCTTTCTCAGGAGTATAAGCTATGTGGAGACAGGGTCTTACATGCAATGGTACTGCTACCATCCAGCACAACACCCACTGCATACTGTTAGTGCCTAATACACATTTACCTAATTCATTTAGTATGCCAGAAAATCAGCAGTCTTAGTTCTTGCTTCCATGACCCCCAAAGAAATTAATTCAGTGTTACCCACACAAAACAGGTGCTCAATCACCACTAAAAGACTTCTTTAACCCAGCAAAAATAAAGAGAAAGGTCAAGGATGCTCAAGCGTCTTGATGATAGAGTGTGGTTACATAAAGATACCAGCAAGGCCACTCATAAGCACTACAGAACGAAATGCAATAGTTAGCAATTATAGGATCTCCTTCAACATATGTTCTTGCTATACTATTACTAATATTTAACTTTGGCTATGTAGTCATACAGGTATTTCAGCCTTTTTTCTAAACTAAGATACTAATGTTCATAAATAAGCACTAATCTGCTTCATTTTAAGTTACTTGTTTACCAGTGCTCCACCGTAAAGAGAAGTGAAAATTTTTCTTGGAACTAAACCAACCAAATGCTACTGAGATACATAAACTGTTATTCTCTTATCATAAGACTTGTATAAAGGCACACGTGTGAGAGAGTATGTGAGTGTGTGAATGTGTGTATGTGCGTGTAGCTAGAGATGTAGAGAAAGATTTGTTGTGTCCGTAAAGTAACGTATCAGTTTCTTAAAGCAGGCACACAAGAAGGGATTCATATGATATTTGCCATTCAAGGTAGTCTCCTTTGGGACCTCACTCCTACCACATGGCCAAAGTGAAAGATGTTCTAGAAAATTCTCCTTGGGGAGCCGTTTTAGGTCCTGCATCAATTTTTTTGAATAACCTCACAGAGGATAAATCTGCAGCTTCAAAGGTGAATATTTACAAGTAAGTAGTGAGCAGAGACTGTGGCTAGTAAACAAGGTCAAAAATCACACACCCTGAGCCAAAAGCAAGGTACAGTTGTCAGAACTCCTGGCAATGTGCGAACTTGCTTCTGTGAGGTCACACGCTTGTTCTCAAACAATGCCAACAGGCTCTAGACATTTTGAGAGAGAAAGAAAACCAAATCATGTTTTGAAAAATCAGAGACCCCCCGCGCTGCAAAATCTGAAGAAACTGATGGCTTCTCTACCCAAACCCATATGCACACAGGATTAGAAAGGTCTGAATCTGCTGATGGGCAGAGTGAGAACTCCAGTCAATTTTTTTTCTTTTTATCTATTGTAACCAATGAGCAACGACAAAACATTTTCCATCATGACCAAGTCTGTACAGATACAACCAAAATTAAAAGTAGCCAAACAATCGTCTTACTATATGCAGTAATATTCCACTGGATTTCACTGAGAAGTGTTACTCTCAGCCTACCATGCCCACTTCCTAACCCACAGTTTAAAAATTACTAGTTAAAAGTAACTGCAGCAAAAGTTACTGAAAAAGACAAAACTCAATTTTCTTTCTCGCTTTTACTTTTCATTTTGCAAGCGTGGAAGAGAGGGTACACATGCACGTGTATTTGTATGTGGGTACAAGTTGGGGGTCGGAGGTCAGCCTTGAGTGTCTTTCCTCAGAAATTGTTCCTTTCATTTTCTATGAGAGGTCTGGCTGGGAACCTGGGATTTAAGCGTGTACCACCATGCCCAGCTTTTTGTGTGAGTGCTGGAGATCTGAACTCGGATCCTAATGCTTCTGTGGCAGGTAATTTAACCAACTACCCATCTCCTTAGTGTTTTTTCTTTGTTCAGACAAAGTCTTGGTATATATATAGCCCAGGCTAGCCTCAAACCCAGTACCCTTCTGCCTCAGCTTCTTTACTGTGAGACCAGATGGACAACACTATGCTAATGGCAAAATTCATTTGATTTTAAAAATTCTGATGTGCTATTTTAAACTAATGAACGCAGAGATCTTTTTAGCCTAAAGTCAAATCTTTTGAGAGATTGGATCTTCATCCCCTTCGCCCTGTTTCTGAGACAAGGTCTCATGAAGCCTAGGCTGGCCTTTGAATTCCACATTTTCTTGCTTCTACTATATCAGAGACACGTACTTCCATGCCAGGCTAAGAGACTAAATTGGATTCTTTATGAACAAACTGTGTGATCTTGGCCATTCAACTACATGGCTGATGAATAAACCACATAATGGTCAGATACCATACTATTTCCATACCTTAATATTGGAAAACCACAAATCATTCTCGTGTAAGGTGGCTAGGTAGACAGATGTAAGAAGTCCAATGCCAAGGGCGACGGTTCCACCGATTGCAAATGACAGGATCTTCCAAAACCTTCTGTAGGCACAACCTTTTAGAAAGGTGAAACACAGGAATAATGAATAAAGAATTTACAATCCAATTGTTCTCAGAGTCTCACATAGGCGAAATTCCAGCGGCCCTTCATTGATGAGGCTGTTCCTGTCCTGTGAGGTGCCCCTTTATGTCCCTCCTCAGACTGCTTTCTCTCCCCGCACCCTTCCATCCCAACTCCTCCTTTGAGATAGTATCTCAGAGTGTAGAACAGGCTGGTCTCCTCCAGCCATAACCTCCCAAGTAGCTAGATCTATGGGTGCACGTCACTGTGTGCTTAGCCTATTTTCATTCTCTTCTTCCAGTTTTTATCACTCTGTAGCTAATAGTTCACATGTTTGCTTTGCTAACTAGAAAGTGAGCTTTGCAAGGGCAAGTACATTGTTTTAGTCTTACCTTTAACACCCAGGGCCTGTGTCTGGTGTGGCTAGACAACTAGAGGCTATGAAGTTTGATAAATGGAAAAACAGTTGGTTTATAAGTCTAGGATGTGAAGACTCTTTTAAATGGTTGACTTCTAATTTAATACTTTTTCATAAAACTACCAAAAAATTTGATTGCAGCCAGACATGGTGGCACATACCTTTAATCCCAGCACTCAGGAGGCAGAGGCCAGCCTGGTCTACATAGCAAGTTCCATGTCAGCTGGGACTACAGGGAGACCCTGTCTTAAAAAGACTCCCCCCTCCCAAAAAAAAAACAAAAACAAAAAAACTTGGTAACTTCATTAAGACTTTTTAAAAGAAAATCCATCAGAGGGCTGGAGAAATGGCTCAGTGGTTAAGAGCACTGGCTGCTCTTGCAGAGGACCCAGGTTCAGTTCCTATGACCTGCACTTCTATCTAGCAACTGTCCTAATTCCAGTTCCAGAGGATTTGATGTGGTCTTCTGGCCTCCACAGGCACTGCACACATGTAGTGCATTTACATACATGCAGACAAAAGACTCATACATATAAAGTAAATAAATATTCATAGGAAAGGGGGCTGGACAAATGGCTTAGTGATTAACAGCACTTGCTGCTCTTGCAGAGGACCTGGGTTCAGTTCCCAGCACCCACATCAGGTGGGCCACAAACTGTCACTCTAAATCTAAGGGATCTGATGCCCTCTTCTGGTCTCTGCAGGCATTTGCATTCACATGCACATATACATACACATATATAATTTAAAAAAAAATCGGGGCTGGAGAGATGGCTCAGCGGTTAAGAACATTGGTTGTTCTTGCAGAAGACCCAGGTTCGAATCCCAGCACCCACATGGCAGCTAACAACTGTCCATAACTCCAGTCCCAGGGGATCCAACAGCCTCTTCTGACATCCGCGGGCACTGCACGACATGGGTGCACTTACCTACATGCAGGCAATACATGCATACACATAAAATAAAATAAAATAAATGAAATTAAATTAAAAAATCACAGAGAGCTGGACATGGTGGTGCACGCCTTTAATCCCAGCACTTGGGAGGCAGAGGCAGGTGGATTTCTGAGAATTGGAGCCCAGTTTGGTCTGTACATAGCAAGAGCCAGGCCAGCTGGGGCTACAGGGAGACCCTATCTCAAAAAGATGTGCCCCCGTCAAAAAAAAAATCACAGAGGAAATAACATAAATCTCAGGACATACAAACTAGGAAAACCATAAATACAGGATATTTAAGAAAAACAAAAAATGATGACTATTCTAGGAGGAAAGAGGCTGGCATGAACAATGAACAAAAGGGAAAAACGGCCAATAAATATAATAGATGGGGGGGGCTGGAGAGATGGCTCAGCAGTTAAGAACACTGTTCTTGCAGAAAACCCGGGTTCGAATCCCAGCACCCACATGGCCGCTAACAATTGTCCATAACTCCAGTTCTAGGGGATCTGACAGCCTCTTCTGTCCTCTGAGGACACTGCAAGACACGGGTGCACTTACCTACCTGCAGGCATAACACTCATACACATAAAATAAAAATAATAAATAAAATATTTTAAAAAGTATAACAGAAGATGCTGAAATTCATTCAAATTCACTAGCACTGAGGGAACAAAAATCATTACAATGAGCTACACTTAACTCTGGCCAGGAGGTCAGGCATGGTAGTACTGGCTTTTAATCCTAGCACCTGGGAGGGACAGGCAGATGGACTGCTGTGAGATGGAGGCCAGCTGGGATAGTCTACATAGAAAGTTCCAGGCCAGAAAGGGATTATACAGTGAGACCTTGTCTCAAAAAATAAATAAATAAATAAAATCTTGGCCAGGGGCTGGGAGATGGCTCACTGATTAAGAACACTGGCTGCTCTTCCAGAGGACCCAAGTTTAGTTCGCAGCACTGATGTGACAGTTAACAACCACCTGTAACCGCACCAGGGTATCCAATGCTCTCTTCTGGCCTCCACAGGCATTACACATACATGGTCCACTTAGGCAAAATACCCATACACATAAAATAAGAATTCTTAGGGGCTGGAGAGATGGCACAGCAGTTAAGAGCACTGACTATTCTTACAAAGGACCTGGGTTTGGCTACCAGCACCCATACGGCAGCTAACAACTACCCTTAACTCCAGTTCCAGGGGATCTGATGCCCTCTTCTGACCTCTGAATGGATCGCACGACACAGGTGCACTTACATATATGCAGGCAATACACTCATACACAAAAAAATATCTAAAATAATAATAAAAACAAGAACTCTTGGCCAATATGGCGCTTAAAAATGCTAACGTGGGCTTGAGGGTATGGCTCATGGCTGGTACAAGAATAAATTGGTACTTCCCTGGAATTCAACCAAGTAACAGAAGTAAAAAGCCATCAGAACAAACACTAGGTATTCCAAGTCCAATCTCAAACCCCAAGGAGATAAAGTCTGCGGGAACCTGTGGCCACAAGGAATTTACCACAGTTCTCATATCAGATGGTTAGAAACCCATCTTAATAGTCCACAAAGTCACACAATGAGACCTTATATGCTAACAATATTTCTTAAATATATTGATTGACTCTTAAAAACGTTCATAACATGACAACTGAGAAGCAGCAACTTTCCAAACAGCACATGGGTTTCAATTTTTGTACAACTACATATGAGTGCTTGAGGGCAACCATGTGCAGACAGCGACAGACAGAAAGGTAAACGCTATCATCTGTGCTGCACTCGGGATGGGTAAGTTGGTAGAAGGTTTTTTTTTTTTCCTTCTTTTTTCATTTTTCTTTAGTTTTCAGTTTTCTTTTTCCTGACATGAATAAATACTATTTGTTTTGGTAAAATGAGCAGTCTTCAAAGTTGTATTTTTAGATGTACTTTGTTTTTAATTATGTGTGTATGTGGGGAGGGTGGGGCATGTGCATGTGTGTGCCCGTGGAGGCCAGAGGAATTGGATTCCCTTGGAGCTGGAATTACAGGAGGTTGTGAGTCATCTGATGTGGGTGCTGGGCACTTAACTCAGGTCCTCTAAACCACTTAAGTCTGGTACTCTTAACCACTAAGTCATCTCTCCAGCCCTGGTTTTTTAATTCAAAAGAAACACTCTGACACTGCATAACATTTTCAGAGACTATTCCGAATTATCTAAAATGCATTAGTTCCCATCGGCCGAGGTGAGTGGCCTGGCCTTCTTTTACTTTACTCAACTGCTTTCTGGTTATCCACTAGCTCTGGCTGCTGAGAACTGACAGAGCTGTGAAGGATGTAATTCTATCAGATGCGCCAAATGGCTGATAAATGTGGGATTTTTCATGCTTACTTTCAAAATCCTGACCGTGTTTAATCACAAAAGGTTGGCAATTAATCCCATTCCATGGATTGCTTAGCAAGAGTTCAAGGTCGCATGAACAATCCAAGGAGGTCTAACCCTTTCTCCTGCTTTCCCTTCTGACCCCACAAAAGAGCAACAGGAATTTTACTGAAGAATACAAAAATCTGAGCAGGGTGGGGCAGGTGTCAAATCCCTCTACAAAGTCCAAGCATCAGGCAGGCATTTTTGTTCATTAAGTCCATCGACAGACAACTGACAAAAGAATTCTCATCAAAGCTCTTTTACTGATTACAATTGTAAAACCAACATCATCAAACTACAATTAGAATATCAGGATGCTGGAACAAGTTAATGGTGAAGTTGCACCATTTTTTTTTATCCTACTGGAATAAGATATTTAAATATGTAGAGATAAAAGCAATCCAAAAAGTTGCTTTAGTTAAGTCACCTACCAGATGGTAATTTACTTTCCAACTTCACATTTTCTTTTTGTGCTGGAAAATCCTCTGAAACTTCTATGGTTTTTATCTCCTTTCTTTGCCGGATGTACATCATGATGTCAAAGACTTACACGCATTTTTCTTCCAACCACTCCTACAAATAACACAGAGATGAAAGGCCCATGGATATGTCAGCTCCCTCTATCCCCAACACACCCTTAAGCCCCTCTGTGCTTGAATAACTTGGGCTGTTGTCCCTGTCTTACCAAGACCCTCCCATCCAAATCTTAATCAGCCTTCAAAGCTACACCCCCAATAGATAACGGCACAAATGTTTAACTCAACCATATTTACGAAGCACCTGCTCTCCTAGCAGACACTGTCAGGAGTCAGGAATACAGGTGAGACACCAGAAGCCCAGCCCTTCTTCCAGGAAGCCATCTTGGATGATCCAAGGCTTGTGATCTTTCCTTCCCTGAGCCTTAGCACTTATCATGCGATGTGTTGCATCACACTGTTTTATATTATTTTCTACAGTTCCATAGGCAGCAGTAGGTCTAATTCTCCCACGGGACTGACCACGTGGGAGGGATTCAGTAGTAAACTTGTTGACAGCCAGATTTTGAAGAACTGAAACACTGTTTCTGCTATCTGAATTGTAGCACCTGTGTTCTTTAAACAATCAGCGGTGCTAGCAGCTTCTGCCTGGGTGGCAAAGATAGCTGGGGCGGCGGGGGGGGGAGCGCAATCAGGGTACCTGCCATCCCTAGGAATCGACAGTGGGTGTAACTGCGGAGCACTTGCCTAGTTTGGAAGCTGTGAAGGGGAGGCGGGGGTGTGGTGGCGGTGAGTAAGCCGCTCCAGTCCCCCAGAACATCTTGCTTCGTTCCTTTGAATAATGAGCGTTTTACTAATGACCTATTAAAGACGATGAGTAGCCAGACACGTACATCAAACCCGCACTCCAGGTACACCTAAGCCTGTGTTTACCTAGAGGTAAACCACTTGCTCTATTCGACGGAACACACGAACACGATACAATGCTTTTCTTGATTGAGTCATTCATTCAAAAAATTAGAAGGAAAACAGACTTAAACGCTGTGTGTGCCTCAAAGGACCAGAAACGAAGAAAGTGAGGAAGAAAAGAGTATTTACAAAGTCTTACAGCCACAGAAGCGGTTAAGTCCCATCACAGGGAGTCAGGCACTCCCTAAAGGGGGCGCGGATAAAGACCCTACAACGTACCCCTTGTGGCCTGTTAAAGTTAACAAGCACCGAAAGTGCTAATTACTTGTCTGGATAGCGGTCGTCCCAGGAACTCTGAAACAAAACTTCCTCCAGCAAACGGGAAGCGATGCCGTGGTCAAACGTTTGCCAAGGGAGCTGCACGCAATTCTGCTACGTCTGAGAACCAGGGGTGCAGCTCTGGGCATCCCGGGGCGCAGAGGGACCAGGCGTTCGTGGACCCGGGGCCACACCCCTGTGCGCCTGGCGCCAACACCCTGGGCCACCGGGGAAGTCGAGGCAGCGGCTGCCGCCTCCCGGGAGAAGCATCCGAGTCCGGGCCCTCCCTGCACTCGCGCGGGCAGTAGCCGCGCAGAGTCGCTCCTCCCCAGCCTCGAGCCCGGTCTCTCGGGTGCACACGGCGTGCACGATCCCCTCGCGGCCCGCCCCGCGGCACAGACCTGCGGCCTCAGCTGTCCTCACTCGCGCGGCTCGGGATGAGGAAGCCGGCCCGGAGCCGAGGTGGCGGGTACAGGATCTGCAACACGGGCCGCAGCGTGGCGGAAACCGGCAGGATCCAGCGGAGAGCAGCTTTGTGCAACGAGGTGCAGCGCGGGCCTGGGGGGCGTCCGCAGCCCCTGGGAAGGGGCGCGCCGGGGAGGCCGGGTCGCTGCCGCTGCGCTCATAGGTCCCCGGAGATGTCGGTCAACGCGAGTCCCCGCCCCTGCCTCCCGTGCTGACCCGCCCTGTCTCGTGCGGCGCGGGCCGGAAGGAAGCAGCGAACTTCCGCTCCCCAGCGGCCGGGCGTGCTACGCTCTGTGGGGGTCCTCCGATACCCTGCTGTCCCCAGGAAGGGTCTCCCGTGTTTCTTGGGATGACCAGTGGCTGTTAAGTGATGCTAAACGTCCTCCTCTGACGCACCCCCCCACTACCCCCCCACCTCCGGTGTGTGCCCTCAGCCCCCCCACCGCTACATTGCCTTTTTGCTAATTCTCCCTGCCCTTGTTTGTTTGTTTGTTTGTTTAAGACAGGGTCTCCCCGTAGATCCAGCTGGGCTGGAATTCAGTATGTAGACCAGGCTGGCCTTGAACTCCCTGCCCCTCTTAACCTGCTCCTCCAGTGTTGTCTTGGATGTTACTCTGCTTCAAATTGGTTGTAAATGTTTATGAGGGCACATGCTCTTTTATTTTTTCCCCCTTAGTCTTTTTGAGATAGGGTCTCCCGGTAACCCCAGCTAGCCTGGAACTCTTTATATAGACCAGGGTGGTCTCGATGTCAATAGAGATCCACCTGCCTCTGCCTCCGGAAGGCAGGGATTAAAGGCATGCGCCACCACTCCAGGCCTAGATGCCTTTCTTAACCACATTGCCTACTGTATGAACCAGAAGGTAAAACCTTTTACTAGTCAAATTACATATTAATTGAAATTTTTTCTTTTTTTGAGACTGGGCCTCTCTATGTAGTCCTGACTAGCTTGAAACACTGTGTAGACCAGATTGGCCTCTAATTCAGAGGCGATCTGCCTGTGTCTACCTCCCGAGTGCTGGATTAAAGGCCTATGCCACTACCCCTGGCTGGGGACTGTGTGATCCTTCATATTAAGGTGCCTTGCATAGAACACATTTGTCTGCTTAACATGTGGGGGCTGGAGAGATGGTTCAATGGTTAAGAGCACCGGCTGCTCTTGCACAGAACTCGGGTTTGATTCCCAAGACCCACATGGCTGCTTTCAACCATCCATAAGTCCAGTTCCAGGGGATCAGACACAGGTTACACATATACATGTAGGCAAAACACTCGGACATATAAAATATAAATCAAAAAAATTTAAATACATACATAAATTGATTTTTCCCAAGAATTTTCTGGTATTGGTTAGAAATTTTTTTCCCTTCTCAAGTTGATGAGGAAAACGTGACTTCCTTGACACATGGTTCCCTTAAGTAAACAGGACTCATCAGCTACCGCTTATTTATTTTAGCTTATAGCTCACAGTCTGTCATGGAGGGAAGCCAAGGTGGGATCTCAAGGCAGGAGCCTGGAGTCAGAAACTGAAGCGGAGACCATGGAGGAAGGTGGTTTACTGCCTTCCTGCCATTTGCTCAGCACTCATCCCTACACAGTCCAGGCCCACCTGCCAGAGTTAGCACCCCCCACAGTGGGCTGGCCCTCCTACATCAATTAGCAACCAAGAAAATGCCCTACAGACATGGCCACAGGCCAATTGGAGGAAATTCCTCATTTGGGGTACCCTCTTCCCAGGTGTGTCAGGTTGATTACTGAAGCCATGACACAGGTGTTTTGGTCACAGCAGTGAAGCACCAGCTAATGCAATAGTCCATAAAGTTCCGTCTCAGTGAATCGTGGCTGTTCTGTGAGACCCAGAGAAGACTCGAAATGACAGCTTGGGACTTCTGGGGCTAGGGACAAGGACGTTGCAGTTTCAGCTGTACCCTCTATTGGACTGCTCATGTAGGATGTCACTGCTAGTTTGGGAGCATGCTCCAACAGCTTGTGGAGAAAGCCATGTGTGACCCATCTTGGAAACAGATCAGCCAGCTCCAGGTCAGCCAAAGCTGATATCAAAAGTCCCAGACTGGACTAACTCTGGAAGTTACTCTCAAATATCTGACACATAGGAACTATGAGAAAAATAAATATTGTTGTCCTAAGTCATTAAGTATGGGAAAATATTATTTATCCTTTTTATTTTATGTGTATGAGTGTATTGCTTGCATGTATGTGAGTGCATCTGTGTCATGCAATGCCACGGAGGTCAGAAGAGGGCTTTGGATTCCCCTGGAACTGGAATTAAGGACAGTTCATAGCTGCCGTGTGGTGCTGGGAATCAAACCCAGGTCCTCTGCAAGAGTAGTCAGTGCTCTTAACCGCTGAGACATCTCTCCAGCCCCAAAAAATATTATACAATGATAGATAACCAGTACAATACTAATCACTCCTGTGGGTGTGTCCAATTTCTATATTCCTACTGAATTTGACAGGTTGTTTCTGGTTTTATGCTATGTTAAGCAATGCTGTGAGAACATTCTTAGACATACATAATTCTTTAGGAAATGTTTCTAGAAATAGAATTGCTAGAACTCGTATTCCAATTTATGATCAAAGTTGGCAAACTACATTCCAAAAAGATTAAAAAAATCTATTACTTTATTTTATTACCAGTGTGTATGACAGGGCTTAATTCTTGGTACCTTTGCCAACAATGGACAGATTTAATCTTCGCTGATTTTAGATGAAAAATATGTCATTATTTTATGGATTCTTTGGGGGGTTGGCCTGCTGGGAATAGACCCTAAGATCTTTCCCATGGGCAAATGCTTTACCACTTAGCTACACCCTTGCCCTTTAGCCTGTTGTTTTCACTGCACTGTCTTGCTATGTTGCTCAGGTCGACCTTGAACACACTGTTAGCCCAGGCTGGCCCTGAACCCACTGTGTAGCCCAAGCTGGCCTTGAAGTCCAGATCATCCCATGTCTTCTTCCTGGTGCTGACTTTGTAGGTGTGCACCACCATACCCCTTGGAAGTATTCATTAGATGAAGGCAATGATGTTAGGGGTTTAATGGGTTTTTAAATTTTTCTTTAACTGTACTTTGCTTTTTAAATATTATTTGGGAAGTTCAGGTATTGAATATTGATATTAAGTTATTATTCATGCATTGTTAGATGTTCTAGTTTGTTTCTTCATTGTTGTGACAAAATACTCTGACCAATACCAAATTGGGGAGGAAAGGGTTTATTTGGCTTACATCTCCCTGGTCACAGTTCATCAGGGAGCTCAAGGTAGGAACTCAGGGCAGGAACCTGGAGACAGGAGCTGGAGCACAGGCTATGGAGGAGCACATGCTTACTGGCTTGCTTCCCTGGCCCCTGCTCAGCCTGCTTTCTTATGCAACACAGGCCTACCTGCCCACAGGTGGTACTACCCACAGTGGGCTGGGCAGTCCCACATCACTCAACAATCAAGAAGATGCCCCTCAGATGGCCACTGGCCAGTTCAATAGAGAAAATTCCCCAATTGAGGCTCCCTCAACCCAGGTGTGTCAAGTTGACACTAAAGCTATTCAGCACAGTAAGTATATATTAACTTTTGGCCATATATATTGCAGGTAGTTCCTAATTTTTTTTTTTTTTTTGGTCTTTTTGAGACAGGGTCTCCCTGTAGCCCCAGCTGTCCTGGAGCTCACTATGTAGATCAGGCTGGCCTTGAACTCGCAGAGATCCGCCTGCCTCTGCCTCCGGAGTGCTTAAAGGTGGGCACCACCACGCCCAGCAAGTAGTTCCTAATTTTAATGTTACGGTGTCTTTTGCTCTGCTGGACTACATTAACCTTTAAATGTTATTCAGAAATATTTTCCCCAGTATCCCAACCATGGGACATTTAATTTAGAATCTTGGGGGAAAAAATTGGCGATCATTTAGGCTACTGCTTGGAAACAGTTCAGTTGAAGCATTTAACTCCTTGGAACCGAATTAAAAGAGATATAAAGCCCTATCAAGAGAAAAAAAGGTGTATAGGTCTCATAGAACCTCTTGGATCTGCTCCACCTAATTCTCCTGCCTTCCATGGATCTCAAAAAGCTTAGAGGAGCGATGTGCCTGGTGCTGGCAGCTTGCAGAGGCTGATAGTGCTGGCTTTTTCTGATTTACATCGCCAAGCCCGTCTTTCTCTGGGAAAGAATACCCTTTCCTTCCTTGAAACTCTTTTGCTGTCTTCTTGTTCTGTTTCTGTGTTATAGTGCTGCTTTTGAAATAATTTTCCAGTGAAAATGACATGGTTAAAGAGAGAATATTCTATATTCTAATATTGTCTTTTTTCAAGTTCTTTTTGATGGTATTTTCTGTGTTCTGCATTCTCTAAATTATGAATACTTAACTGAAGATTACACATGGTAAATTATAATATGGGTTCTGTTAGAGCAGACAGCCAAACTGATTGTCTTCTTTAAAAAGGGAACTCATGGGGGCTGGAGAGATGGCTCAGCAGACTGACTGCTCTTACAGAGGACCGAGATTCGATACCCAGCACCCATATGACTGTTAACAACCGTCCGTAACTCCAGTTCCAGGGGAATCCGTTGCTTTCTTCTGACCTCCTTAGGCATTAGTCACAGGTGCACTTACACACATGCAGGCATAACACTCATACACATAAAAAGGGGGGGATTCACCTGTGTACTATCATGCTTGCTTATAAATTATAAATTTAAAAAAAAATTTAAAGGGTCAACTCTCAGAGATCCACCTTCCTCTGCCTCCCAAGTAAGTACTGGGATTAAAGTGTGGCTCGCTCTATCTATCATCTATCTATCTATCAATCATCTATCTATATATTTATTTATCTATCTATCATCTATCTAATTTTTAAATTTTATGTGTATGAGTGTATTGCCTGCATGTATGTGAGTGCACCCGTGTTGTGCAATGCTGAG